CCTTATTTTAATGGAGCAAATTATGTCTATTGGAAGAATATGATGATGCTCTTCATTCAAGCTAACGATCTAGGAGCTTGTAACTCAATCATGGAGGGATACTCCATTCCAACCAATGAGATGAATGATTGAAGTGATAGAGAGAATAACAGGTTTCAACTCAATGCAAAGGCTATGCAGATTCTATTTTGTGCATTAGGCATGAATAAATATGGAAGTGTCTCCTCTTGTTCTAATGCCAAGGAGATTTGGGACAAGCTCCAAGTCACTCATGAAGGAACCAACGAAGTGAGGGAAACCAAGATTAGTCTTCTCAACCATAGTTATGAGAATTTCAAGATGAAAGCGGATGAAGACATCAAAGCTATGACGGATATATTTTTTTGTGATTGCCAACGGTCTCAAGGGATTTGGAGAAGTGATCCCTAATGAGAAGCTTTTGAGGAAGATGATTTACTCTCTCCCAAATTGTTGGTAATCGAAGAAGACGGCGATCATTGAAGCTAAGGACCTAAAAACTCTCACTCTTGATGAGCTTATTGGATCTCTTCTCACTCATGAGTTGATGGTAAAGGAAGAAGAAGAAGATGAAGAGAAGAAAAACAAGAAGAAGAATGAGGTAGGCATTGCCTTCAAATCCAGCAATGAGAGCAATGAAGACTCAAGTGAAGAGATGGATGAAGATGATGATGAAGAAGAGGAGATGTCCAAGCTCTTCAAAAGATTCAAGAGATTCACGACTTCTAAGGAAGTGAAGCATGAATCAAGCAAAATGAAGAGTCACCCGGTGTGCTTTAATTGCCAAAGAACGGGGCATGTCAAGTATGATTGTCTCCTCCTAAAGAAGAAGGGATCAAGTAAAAAGAAGGCATTTATGACGGCTTGGGGTGATGAACATGACTCCAATGATAAAGATGAAGTAGTCAACATATGTATCATGGCCATCGAAGAAGATTCAATGGTAACTTCTAACTCATTGAATTAGATTCTTATTCTTTTGTTGAGTTACAAGTTGTCTATGATGAGTTGTATTTGAAATTTGAGACCATGAATTCCAAATATAAGAAATTAATTTCAAAATTTAAAGCTGAAAAATTATTTGATTTTGAAAGCAAAAGTTTATTTTGAAAAACAAAATGAAACTTTGAAAAATGATTTAGAGCTTTCAAAAATCAAAATCAATGATTTAGAAAAAGAAAATTTTGATTTGAAAGTTAAACTTGAAAGCTTAACAAAAGAAAAAAGAATTAATTTCTAAAAATAACTCATTATGTTTAAAAATGAAAAAAATGCTCGCATTGCCATTTTTATGGTCATTTGGAATATACTTGTCATATAAAGAAAAGAAAATCTTTTAAAATTAGACAAGTATGAGTTCCTAAGGGAACTAGAGACATTGAAACTAACGTCCAAGGATCCAAAGCAATTTAGATACCAAAATCTAAATGAATGTCTCTTGTAGGTGTGTGAGAGCAACGGTGATGATATGAAGATGTTCAAATGCTCTAGCCACACTTGAAAAGGAATGAGTAACCTTTAAGCTTAATGTTTTTGATTTGATTGATTGGTTGCTCATTTAGTTTAAGCATGCATGAGTTTTGATTTTAAATAATTTTATGTTTTTTATCTCATATATATTGAAAATATGCTAGGATCAACATTTTCTAAAGTTTTAAATGATTTTTCATAAATGTTTGTTCATCTTAATGAATTTTGGTCAAAATTCATTTTAATGTTTTGTTTTTACAAATTTTAATTTTTGACTTAAATTTAAATGTTTATGAATGTGATTTAGTGCAAATGATATCTCTCTAACAATTGAAATCAATTTTTCAAATGCATAACATTTTTTGATAGCTTTATGCACGTGAACTTAAATTCAACAATTGGTATTGCATAAAATTTATTAGACTTGGATATATTGAATTTCATGTTCTACTAACATGTTTGTTCATATCTGTTGAAATTCAATTTTTTTGTGTCAAACTTTTAAAGTCAATTTTTTTGGGATGCTTTTATTGAGGGTGAACTTTGATTTTTCAAAATATTTTAATGTTAAAATTACCACCTACTCTCCATTGTTATTTCTTGAACTTTAAAGTTGAATTATTTTTGATATAATAAAAAAAAGGGAGAAGTATATGTTTGAAAATTTAGTTTCTCAATAAAAAGGGGGTGCTTTAATATTTTCCAAATATGTATCTTTTTCATTAAATGTTTTATTAAGGAGGAGTTTTGCCAAAAATAATTTTTCAAATGTTTTGTTATATCAAAAAGGGAGGGATTATTGAACTATGTTTTATAATATTTTAATATAAAAAATTAATGCAAAATGTTTTTGGACTTGAATTGAATTTGTTTAAAGTTTTCAAAAATAATTCAAAGTCCATTAAAATAGAATTTGAGCACAAAATGCTTTTCTGGGTACGAAGTATTGATATTATTCTTACACTATCGATACTGCATAAACAATAACGATATTGTTCATGTGGTACCGATACGAAATGTAAGATAAGTATCGATACTCTCTAGGTAGTATCGATACTACCATGTGTTTTCCAAATTGCTCAAATCCGAGAATGCAAAATAGGTACCGATACTCAAAGTATCGATACTACTTTACATAGTAGTATCGATACCATGAGCATAATATCGATTCTGGTCAGGCCCAACGGCTAGTAATAGCTAGTTTATTTAAATATTATAAAAGAAGTACTGATACTCATTAAAGGAGTATGGATACTCCTTGTCCTGGGTAGTTTTGTTTTGCAAAAAATTAATCTCCATCGGCTAGAAACAACCACAAATTGATTCCAACATATAAAAACAAGTTAAGGACACTTGAAGAAGGGTTAGAACACTTATCCAAGCAATCAAACACAAGAGAAGAGTTTTCATTCTTATTTTTCCGTTCTCTTGTAAATATTAGTGTTTAGTGAGTCTAATCTTTGTAAACACTTACCTTAGAGAAGTTTTCTTTTTTACATCTTTTTCCTTTTGAAGCAGGGGTTTTGGTTCTAGTTTAGCCAAGTGAAAAACTAGGGAGTTGTAAAGGTTATCTCTTTATCCTTGAACAAGAAAGAACAAATTAGTGAATTTGTTAGAAAATCCTAAGTGGGGAGCTTAGGTAGTAGAAGTAGACTTAGTTGAGAATTCGAACCACTATAAATCCTTGTGCAAAATTGTCTATCTTTTCTTTCTCCTTACTCCCTAAGCACAATTGGCCAATTCACCCATCTTGGCACATTTTTTCGGTTTATCTTTGAGCTTCGAAAATCCCAACAATACTTATACATCCTATAAATTTAATTGATCTTAATTTTAATTTACTTCGGTAAATTTAATATTCTAATCGAATGGTGACACATGTCATCATTCATTGAAAGATTTTCATACTTTAAATTTATTTAATTTAAGTATTTTTTCTTTCAATTAGATTGTTGACACATGTTACCATTTGATTAGAGGATTAAATTTATTGAATTAAAGTAAAATTAGGATCAAATTGATAGAATGTATAAGTATTGAGGACTAAATATATAATTATAATAATTTGTTAACTTTCACGTCGTGGTTTGATCAATGTTTTTAAAACCGGACCGGACATTGAACCGGTGAAGGTACTGGTTACTGGTTCAACCGGGTTCAACCGCGGTTGAACCGGATTTTATATAAAATAATATATTTTTTTTTAATTTTACATAATATTCAAAGCAATATAAATATATATGTAACAATTTTTTTAAGTTTACAATATTAAAAGGTATAAAAATATCACAAGTCATAACATATATAAATTAAAAACCATAAAATCAAGTGAAACAAAATGATTCAAATCAACTACAACATAATATTTAAGGTAAAACATATTAAATAATAAATATAATTATATAACTATAATCGAAAAAATAAAATTGGGACTTAAAAAAATCAATAACAAATGATGTCATTTGGTTTAATTTTTTTTAAAAAACCAATCCAACATGGCTAAGAAACATAGAAGAGCATCCCAAAAGTTTAAAGAGTAAAAAGATGAGAACAAAATAATCCCACATGGCTAAGAAACATAGAAGAACATCCCAACTTACTTCTATAAATAATAGAGGTAATTTGACATTCAAAATCATGGAGCCTTTTGGTGAGCACAGAGCGAACTATTCTTTCGCTTTAATTGAGCTCAAATTTTAGGCTTCAATAGAACTTCTAAATTTTTTTTGAGTTCCAGCCTTTTCGAGTTCAAGTTTTAATATTATATTTCGAGTTCGAGTTGAACTTGATAATTTTTAGCTCGTGAGTTTTTGAGTCGAGTTGAGATTACTTTTAAAGTTTTCGAGTTCGGGTCGAGCTCAGCAATACTCGAATTTGACTTGGCTCGTTGAACAAACGACGTCGTTTGGTTTAATTTTTTTTAAAAGAAAAAAAGTGAACCGGCGATTCAAACCGATTTTGCCGGTTCATCCCGGTTTTATCGGTTTTCAGCCGATTCTACCAGTTTTCAGTAGGTTCATTGCCAGACTGGTTTTGTGAGGTAATCGGACCGGACATCCACCGGTTCATGGTTCAACCGGTTGAACCGATCGGTCCGGTTTTGATAACCATGGGTTTGATTGACATATGTAAATAATTAAATGGTATGATTTAAAAAATTAAAAATTTGAAGATCAAAATAAAAAAAAGCAATAATTAAGTGGTCATATGTATAGTTTACCCTTAGTTAAATGTTGGATGGAGTTCAAAGCTACTTTTGTACATTGAGGAAGAAGGTTCCCTAGATGTGAGTTAAGTCGTTTCGTTTAAAACAAGACAAACACGTGCACAACGTTTAAGATTGATGAAGATTCCCAATTAGCCGGAAACTATGAATGAACATTCGAATTAAAACAAATGAATTGAACAATAGCAATTGAGGGAATTCTTCAAATGCTATTTACAGGGGAAAGAATATTGTTTCAACAAATCAAAAAGAGGGAATGGATACCTAAATTCCTAAAAGAAACACATTGTTTGTTTAGTTGACTTCCATTTTGTGTGGAATCCGTATCACGAGGCGTGGCTTCTTCAAAGGGTGTGGGCTTTCCACTTCATCATCACCGCCGGAAACAAAGAAGTTGGGCCTCGAGAATTCCGGCAGAGGCGGCTGGTTCAGGTCGAAGCCCCTCTGGCTGGTGGTACTAGTGCTGCTGCTGGAGCCTAGTTTCTCAGATGTGGTCCCGCTGTTAGCTTTGCCGCCTTCATAGTGAAGTCGCTTATGCCCACCCAAGGCCTGCCCAGTCGGGAAGCTTCTGTGGCAAATGGAACACTCGTGGGATCTACCGCTGGGGTTCGACGATGTGGAAGAGGTGGTCGTTGACGTTGACCGTTCATCGTTGGCGGCCAAAAGTTTACGGTGGCTGGCTTTGTGGCCACCCAGAGCCTGGTAGGAGGGAAAGGCCTTGTTGCAAACGCTGCAGTTGAAGCCAACTCTTTCCTCCGGTGGATGGAGGGTGGAGGAGTTGTCGGTAGCGCCGCGGGCGAGCATGAGGAGGCAGAGGGCGAGGTATTCGTCGTCCTGGTCGAAACGTGGTCGCTTAGAACGCTTGCCCTTGGTGAAAGAGTGAAGCTGGGAGTGAAAGAAAGAGGATGTCGGAGAGTTAAGAGCTTGTAAAGCCATGGAATTGGATGATGGAAAGCAAGAAGAATTGTGAGTTGAAGAGCGAGTGAGGGTGGGGGTGGTTTTAAATGGGGGAGTGGAAGGAAAGTGGTGAGAAAGTGGTTGATTTATAAATACGAGTGGAAGTAGCGCGTTAGTCTTCCTTTTCCTCAAATGCGGCGGCTTCAAAATCAAACGCGGTGAGAAATTGAATTTAACCAGTCTCCACTGAGAAAAAGGAAACTCATGTTTGTTTAGCTCTTCAAATTATTTATATTTAAATTGTGCAGACCACGTGTAGACATTAGGCTTCGTAGATTATTTATTTTTTAAAAGATAGAAGCTCTTAAAACGTCTACGCGAGCTCTTCTTGGTGCAGACATGATTTTATATCTTCAAAGATCTTCAAACCTCTTCAAGAATAATTATAAAATATAATTATTTATTAAAATAATTTTAAATAATTTAATAAGGTTATTTATTTTAAAATAATTTATTTTAAAATAATTTATTATAAAATCATTTGTTTTAAAATAATTTATTATAAAATAATTTGTTTTAAAATAATTTATTATAAAATAATTTGTTTTAAAATAAAATATTATAAAATAATTTATTTTAAAATAAATTATTATAAAATATGAATTGATTTATTTTAAAAAAATTTATTTAAAATAATTTATTAGTATGAATTGATTTATTTTAAAATATGGATTGATTTATTTTAAACAATTTATTAGTATATATTGATTTATTTTAAAATACAGATTTATTTATTTTAAATAATTTATTAGTGTGAATTGATTTATTTTAAAATATGGATTGATTTATTATTGTAGTTGTATGGATTGATTTATTTTAAATAATTTATTAGTATGGATTGATTTATTTTAAAATATGGATTGATTTATTTTAAATAATTTATTAGCATGGATTGATTTATTTTAAAATATAGATTGATTTATTTTAAATAATTTATTATTGTAGTTGTATAGATTATTCAAATTTCAGTATTGTAAAACTAAAATTATTTAAATCTCAGTATTGCAAAACTCTTTTAAGTTTAAAAAATCAGTTTATTTATATTTCAATTCATTTTAGCAGTCTGCAGACGTTAAAAAATAAATAATCTTCTTCTTGTAGACTGCAGACTTTTGGTCCACCTCTTCTGCTGCAGATGCCTGCAGATATGATCCGCAGACTGCAGATGTGATCCGCAGACTGCAGACGTTTTACCTCTGCAAAAACAAACACTATCACTTCAACTTATCAAACTCGGTTAAGAAGCTATCCATCCCACTTCATGTAATACCATCAATTTTAATTAACATCTTCAACCCCTTGTTTTACATTTTATCACAAATTTGGCCTTCACCTTCACTCGAATCATAGTATTACAAACCGTCATTTATTTTATAAATCACGGCACATGTCGTTTCATAATCCTTTTTTATTTAACAAAATTTTATTATTATAAAATCGATAAAATTAAAAATATGAAAGGTTTAATTTGCAGATATATTATACTAAGAATTTAAGAAAAAAATTAATATAAGATATTTAAGAGAAGAACAAAGATTAAATGATAAAATTTTAAAATATAAAAGGTTTAATTTATTGATTTCTTTTGATCTAAGAATAAATTAATCGATTTTATAGGACTTATTATTATTATTATTATATACTATCTAATATTTATTGATCATTGATTTATTTGTAGCAATAATTTAATTGAACTAAACTATAATTTTTAGAAAGAAAGAAATGATCTATTTGCAACCAAACTAAGATTAGAGGCTTGTTTATTGATTATATTGTTTTGTTCGTTGGGAGGTACATATAATCTTGCTGGCAATTTCTTTAGTATCAATATGGCATGAACTCGTGAAATCCACTTGACCGGCTTGCTTGCTTATTAAGCAGAAAGCTCAAAGAATTTAGCATTCCCCCTACAGAAAATTTGATTGAAAAAAGATCAACTTAAATTCAAATTCAAGTTTCTCTGAAAATTATTCTTATTTCGAATTCAAGTCCATTAAATTTCATATTTTAGATCAATCATCGACTACAGCAAAACTACTGGTTCAATAAAAGGGACACATCTAGTGATTTGCGGTCTCCTATTACTGAAGCTGGGATAAGCAGGGCATATTCATTACAGGCCATGAATGAGGCAATTATCAATTCATTTCAACTCAAATAGCATGTGTACAAAGCACAGAATGAGTACAATTTACACAATTGTACATTTACGAGCCATCGAAAATTTAAACCAAAATGGTATCCTAGTATAAAAGTTCTCTGTCCTGCAGAAGTTGATGAATCTTCATCACCAGCATGACAGCAAAGTGCCCATAGTTTCTATCCTGAAGAGACCAAAAAAGAGAAAACAAACATTAACCAGGCAGTGAATTTTACTAGTGATTACATTTGCTTGTGAAACACTCCACCAGAAATGCTTACCTTGGATTGCATCCATTGCTTGTTCAACATCTGCTTTCTTGCTTTGCTGAGCGCTGAATTTGGCGATTTGTACATTCTCTGTACCACAGAATCCGAATAAATCAATATCAATTTCATCTCGGTAATAATTCAAGACACGCATATATCAACCAAGAGCATAATAATTATAACTAACACACCATTGTCTGTAAAAATATTTTACTATAGCAGTTCATGACACAGACCGGATAACGAGGCTTTAAGAGGTACGATGACCTAATGAATTATAGACCTGGATCTTACAAAAATAATCAAAATCTTACAGAAATAATTGAAAGATGAAACACTCAACATGGTTACAACCAACCTTTTGACTGTTGGATAAATTTTCTCACTGCCTAGAAGATTCCTCCTTTTTGGCGTAAAATTGACTGTTGGATATATTCTCATTGCCTAGAAGATTCATCCATTTTGGCGTAAAACCAAAAACATCCTGAAGAAATTCGTTTTCCTGCACAAGTGGAAACAAGATATGTCAATCTTAATCAACCAGAAAATAAAATACGAGCAAACTAAATCAACAATGTAAACTTCACAGAAAAAGAAGACTGATCTGCATGTGTTTGGTGAAACCTCCACCAAGAAAGTGCTTCAAAAAGTTCAACTGTCGCATTGAAATTTTATAAATTACTTTAAAAGTTCATGGCACGTAACTCATATAGGAAACTAAAGAATTAGAGGAAAAGAAACCTAAATCAACCGACACCATGTTGATGTCTGCAGTGAATCCCCTGCCAATTTTCAGTGATGTCTCGGGACAATAACTATCCTAACATTACCAAGATAATAAACATTAACATGAGATGTCCTAAAATTGTAAGTCATGAAAATGGAAGACAATATTAATACCTCAAGGAACTCCAAAACATCATTGAACAAATTCCCCTGGTTGTTCAGATCTTTCTTGGCAGAACCTTTACCACCAGCTTCCACAGAGAGGTCTCTGACTTGATTCAGAATTTTCCTCCTCAGTCCTAGTATATGTGAGAATGCTTCTTTAGCTTTATTTTCTTCGGATACTGAGCCATCATTTGAACCTTTAGCTTCAGCAGCAAACTTCTCTAAGCTTCCCATCTCAAAAATTACTGCCAATGCTTCCCCAGAAGCAATGCGAACAGATCGGTCATCCTTATCTAGCAAAGTGGACAAATATGCTATGGATCTGCATAATTTTTCATGATCGATCAGTCTCAGACTTATATATTGTGGAAGCATCAAAGTATCACAAGGTTTTTAACCTACTTTTCTGAGATTGAAACCCAACAGTATGTTGGTTCATAACCAAAGAATATATGAAGAAGATTTAAGACTACAAAAAAAGAAAAAGAAAAAAAACATATGATCCATAGAGTTGACTCACTCTTGCCATAGTTTGGGACTGAGTCTCCATCCATGGTTGTCAAAAGGAACGATCAGGCAGATACAACTGCTGTTATTACAACAGCAAAAGGTTTGACAGTAACAACCTACAAGTCAAGCAGAAACAATTAATTCTCAAATAAAGAAAATTATGAAGCATAAACAAATAATCATGCTTTGACATTAACAAGATAGAAGCAATAACCGATTCAGTGAACATCAATACACTATCGGAATTTCGATGTTTCTCCAATTAACGAAAATCAGGATACTTACATTGGAGCCTAGTTTAGGATGAACTGTTTGCCACATGATTTGCATTGATTTTTCTGTTTCCTCCGGATCAATCCCCCAACAAAAGTGATGATAGCCAAGCACTCCAACTATAACAAGTAACCAGGTAAATGCAAAACAACTGATTGAGCATCATACTACAAACAAAATATTAGAGGTAGAAAGAATTCCAATTAAACTTCTTGAATACCGAAGCTATCTTAGAAGATTCAGAACCAGATTTAGAAGCCTGTGAAATAGGAGTGATTGATTCCTCCAATATTTCCTGTGCATTATCTCCAGAGCCAACAGTCAATGCCAGCAAACCTACAAAAAGAAATTTATCAGCTTGAATACTGAAGCCTTGTGGTCTCTTACATGCATGTGTGCACTAGAATTTGCAAAAGCTTTCAAAACTAACCAATGACATGGGAAGCTAAAGATATCTCTTTGCTGGACACCTTATTGATAGAATTCACACACTGGTGCAGTAATGTAGCAAACCTGAACAGCGAAAGATAATATGAGCATCAGAATCACGTAGATTCAAGTTCTCAAACCATATATCTTAAATCATAAGAATCATTTTCACCCACAACTGCAAATGTGCTTGGCAATACAAATCAATCCTACTAAATGAGTGCTATTCCCAATTTTTGGTGCCCAATGATTTAACCAATCAATGAATTTTAGCCACCCAATCACAACTCCATAAAATCTCATAGAACCATGGTCCTAATACATTGGGCAATTCTTGCAATAAAATCACTCGAAACCATGATTAAAAAACAGTCAGAAAAGAGCAACTTACTTCTTCTCCATGAACTGATCCTGCAAGTCATAGTTGAAAGCCTCAATAATGAGACCAAGGCCTTCTCTCGGGTAGAAACCCTCAAAAAAGGTGAAACAC